TCATATCTGATACTGTGTTCTTCAATCTTGTTTTCTGATCGACTTCTTCCTCTCATCAATCTAGTTGTTCTGAATCTTGAATTCACTCGGTGCGATGGCTTCTCCCTCTGATTCCTCTTCTTCGATCGAGTCGGTACAATGTCCAAACCCTAATTCCTCTTCCTCAAACCCTAATTCATACACCTCTTTGACAATACAGAACATTAGAAGTATGGTATTGATCAAATTGAAGTGCTCGAACTACCTTTCATAGTGTGCTCTCTTTACTCCGATCTTTTGTCGCTACAAGCTTCTTGAAATCAACGATGACATTGAAGCTTGTCTTTCGCCAATTCTTCTAGATTGCACTATCAATCTAGCTTTTGAGATTTGGTATGAAAAGGATCAAAACCTTTTAATTTGGTTAAATTTACTCTCTTGGAGAGGTAAGTCCCTTTATTGTTGGTGTTTCATCTTCTCGTGATCTGGGGATCAAACTTCAACAAAGATTTTGGGGAATTTCTGATGCACATGTTCATTAATTGAGATTTTGGCTTCAGTCAATTCAAAAAGGAAATTAGTCAATGTCTGACTATCTTCAACAAATCAAGGAAATTTCTAATTCTTTGATCGCAGTTGGAGCCATTGTGTTTGATTGTGATTTAATGGTTGCTACTTTTGTGGACTCCATCATGCTTCTTTTTTTGTCCACCACTCTTGATGAATTGCATGGTCTATTGCTTACTAAGGAATTGTCCATGTCTCGTCCTAAGAAGACCAATTCTTTAAGTAATGAGTTATTTCATGCTTTCTTAGCACAAACTCCACCACTTTTGCCAGCACCACCACAACACCAGTCTATGCAGCTCAGAATTAACGTCTACATAACTCTTATTGGCACAACTCTAATTGAGGGGGGAATTGTGGTCACTATCGTGGGTCCAATAATCTTGGTCATCATAATAATTACCGTGGCAACAATTCTCATTCTCGTGGAAATTATCAAGGTTCTTGAGGTTCTAATTCCTCTGGTCTTTGAATTCAATGTCAAATTTGTGGATCTACAAGTCATGAAGTAATTGATTGCTTTGATAGAATGAACCTTGATGTTTTTGGTAAGGTTCCTCTTGCCAAATTAGTTGTTATGTGTGCTCACTACAAATCTAAGCTTACTTCTTCCTGGCTCATTGACTCAAGTATAACATCACACATTACAATGATATCTCAAACATCACATCACTAGTTCCTTATCATGGCGAAGACAAGGTCTATGTTGGTGATGGTAAAGGTTTGTCCATTAATCATGTTGGATCTTCGATTTTGAATACTCCTTCAGTCTCTTTTAAATTGCATAATTTTCTTCATGTACCTAAAATGCAACACAATTTACTCTCTGCATATCAATTCTTCAAGGATAATCATTGTTCTTTAACACTTAATTCTGGTGGATCCTCTGTAAAGGATCATTCTACAGGGATGACACTTTTACGGGGACTAGTTACAAGAGGTTCCTATCCCTTGCAAAGTTCTCATTCTTCTCAAATATGCAAGTCTTCTGCAATTTCTCATTCTGCATTAATAAGTGTCAAAACTCTAGTTCAAGTATGGCATAGTAGGCTTGGTCATCATTCATCTTCAATATTTCAGAGAGTTATGTTTGGGAACAAACTTCTGCATCAAGGTAAATCTTCAATGGACCTTTTCTATTCTGATTGTCTTATGGCAAAGAATCACAAGCAGCCATTCAGTCCAACAATCTCAAAGTCATCAACTAGTCTCTAACTTATACACTATGATCTACGGAGACCATTTCTTGTTTTATCAATGAGTGGCTATAGATATAATCTTCTTCTTGTTAATGATTACAATAAATATAGTTTGTTTTTCCCCTTAAAGTCCATGTCTGAAGTGTACTCTACCTTTGTTGCATTCAAGCGTTATGTAGAAAACAGTATTGGAAATAAAATAAAATCCCTTCATTCTGATTCAGGGGTGAGTTTACTAGCAATTTATTTCAATCATTTCTTAAAACTCATGGTATTCTCCATCAGTTTAGTTGTCCACACACCCTTAAACAACAAGTATGTGTGGAAAGAAAGCATAGCCACTTAGTTGAGATAGCAAGGACTTTATTAGTTGCATCCAAAGTTCCACATGATTACTGGGTTGAGGCATTTTCTACTGCAATATATTTGTTTAATAGATTGCCTATTTTTGGATTGTTAAAGTCTCCTTAGGAACTACTTTTTCCCCAGATTATACTAGACTAAAAGTTTTTGGGTGTAGCTGTTTTCCTTGGTTGAAACCTTATGTAACCTCTAAGTTGGATATCAAAAGTCTTCATTTTGTTTTCTTGGGGTACAGTTTGCAGCATAAAGGGTATCGATATTTAGATTCTGCTACTCAGAGAGTCTATATATCCAGACATGTAGTATTTGATGAAGCTCAGTTTCCCTTTCACTCTTCCCAGTGTTCACTGTCTAAAATAGTCTTACCATTAACTAATTCATTCCCTTCTACTCCCTCAATTGATCTTTAGTTCACCATACCACATTACTGATAGGAGCATATTTATGCGCCTTAGTTAGCTAGTTCTTATGCATTTTTGTTATGTTTTATTCGTTAAAGTAGTCTTTTAAGCTACTTTCATGTGTTTTCAGGTTTAAAGGACATATTACATGAAATGATGCAATTGGAAGCTTTTGGAGCAAAACTGAGCTGGAATGTGGTGTATGCAAATGGAGCACGAGGAATGAACGAGGTTGAAGGTCAAAGGAGCTTAAGAAATGAAGAAATGAAAGTGAAGAGCAAGGAAGTCGGAATTGGTAACCAAAGTTTCTAAAGTTGGAAATTTCTATTCTTGGAGGTTTCCATTGTCGTGAGTTTCTATTCTTGGCTTTGGGCTTTTAGATGACCTAAACCCTAACCTTAGCCCATTTTAGAGCCATTGCCATGGGCTTTAGCCCAAGTCCTTTCCCTTGCCATGCAAGGGGAAGCATTTTAGGCCCAAATCCATGCATTAAGCCCTTCACCCTAATTCTTCCTCCTAATTAGTGCATCCCACCATTCCATTCCATAATTTCCATTAGTGCATCCCACCATTCCATTCCATAATTTCCATTAGTGCATCCCACCATTCCATTCACACTTAAATGCCCATTATCCCATTTTTTTTAGCTTTTAATTCCACACCATCCCATTATCCTTTACATCCACTAAACCATGCATCCACATTCACCTAAATAAACCCTAAATTACATCCACTAAACCATCCATCCACCATAATTCCCACCATCCACACCTTTTCCCATCCACCAAATACCTTAAACAAACATCCATTAACACCCATTCTCTTCCTATAAATACCCATTCATTCCATTCACCAAATCATCTCATTTTTCCATTGTAATACACAAACACTTCCCCTTCTCCATTTTCTCCATTTCCACTCCATTCCACACTTCCATCCCATCAACCAACCTATCCTTAAACCTTGTGCTACAACAACGAGGAAGAGAAGAGTGCCTAAACGTTCATACAATTCAAGTTTGAGTTGTTGGAATGTTTAGGTGTTTCTTTGATTTCAAAGTTTCATTTTAATTCTCTTTGTTTTATGGAAGAGAAGAGTGCTTAAACGTTCATACAATTCAAGTTTTGAGTTGTTGGAATGTTTAGGTGTTTCTTTGATTTCAAAGGTATGAGGAACTAATCCCCCTTTAGCTAGGGGGTGATTCGAAACTATGTTTATATTTGCAATATGAATTGATTAACTTTCGTTGGAATTTCATAAGTTGTGGATTCAATTTGTTTAACCGTTTGATTGATAACTTATTTATGAATGTTTATTAAGAATGCGCGCTTAATTTTCATGCATAAATATGACGCTAGAATATAAGTGATTTTCACCTAATCGTTATGAACTTATATTCACAAGTAGTGGAGGTTGCTTATAAACAATCGCGTTAAATGAATTCTTGGCACGAGTTTCATGCTCATCATAGTAACGAATGCCTCGTCAACACTTATAGTTTTCATAATACTTAATGATCTTTGATTGTATTTTTATTGTGCTGTTCACGTAAAGGACTTTTGGAGAATGTTGTGAATTGCGTTGCGCAAACCCATCCAATTCATTAACTTAAGGAAAACTTGACGGTTAATTTAAGCGGACCTAATTAATCCGGAGTGTTGAGTTTCATAATTTATCGAAAGACCAACTGAGAATCAATCTTGTATGCAAGTATAACATGTGTGGAGAAGAACCCCTTAGCTAGCATTCATTCCATATTTCATCACATTCATATTTAAATTCTACCTTTAAATTACAATTTGTGCATTTAATTTATTTTCGTCAAAATCTCAATCCCCCTTTACTTTAGTGTCCAATTTAGTTAGAAAGTGTCTTAGTTTGTGTTTATAAGTGTTTTGTATTCTTTGAGTCTTTTGATTTGTTTTAGTGTTTTAATGTTTGTTTTACATTTTTGAGTCAGTTTCCAAGTGATTTAGTAATCCCTCCTAATCCCCGGTTTAGAACGATCCCTACTTATACTTATACTACAATTGACAAAAAGAGGGTTTAATTTGTGTGCTTACTTAGTTCGCATCAAATTTTGGCGCCGTTGCCGGGGATTAGCAACTTTGCTAATCTCTTGGATTGTTGTATTTTCTTTTGTTTTTATTTTATTCTAGATTCTTAATCTTGTTTTGTTTCTTGTTTTAGGTACTAGTTTATGACTCGGAGTTCTCATCCGATTCGTGAACCTATCTCGGTCTTTGATGCCGATTTCGAGCGAGAATTGAGACGAAAGAGAAAGAACCCAGAACCTAGCGAATCAAGTGAAAGCTCCGAGTCCGTTGCTGAATCTGAAGAAGAGAAACCCAGGAGAACAGAGGGTGAAGTAGACATGGCAGCAGACAACCGAACAATCAAAGAACTTTCCGCTTCGGGATTGGACAATGCCGCACCCCTATGTATTCAATATCCTAGGGCGGCTCTAGGCAAGACCGATGAGTTCGAATTGAAGTCAAGCTTGCTGCATCATATTCCTAAGTACCATGGGCTGTCCATGGAAGATCCAAACAAGCATTTGAAGGAGTTTGAAGTTGTATGCTCAAGCATGACACCCATTAATGTTGATGGGAATATTTTGAAGATGAAAGCTTTTCCATTCTCTCTTGTGGAAAAGGCTAAGGATTGGCTTTATGAATTGGCACCCGGGACAGTGACTTCTTGGGAAAGCATGAAGAGAGCGTTCTTGGAGAAGTTTTTCCCTACTTCAAGAGTCATTCTCTTGAGGAAGAAAATTAGCGGAATCCAACAAAGTCAAGGAGAATCTTTTCCGGCATACTATGAGCGTTTTAAAGCCCTTGTTGCATCATGTCCTCAACATCAAATGAAGGAGGAGCTTCTTCTTCAATACTTCTATGAGGGCCTTCTTCCCATTGAAAGGCAAATGCTCGATGCTTCGGCGGGAGGTGCATTGGTGGATAAAACTCCTATGGCAGCCAAGACCCTAATTGCAAACCGTGCTCTAAATGCACAACAATATGAAGGACTTGGACAAAGAGACCCCCCACGGCAACACCAAGTCAATGAGGTAAGTGCCATAACCGAACTTCAAAATCAAATGGCTAACCTTACTACGTTGCTTTCTCAGGTGGTGGAAGGTCCAAAAGTCAAAACCGTAGCTTCTTGTGGAGTATGCTCCATGCAAGGACACCCTACGGACACGTGCCCACAATTGATCGAGAATGGAGGGTGGGAGACACTCAATGCCGTGGGATATGGCAACCAATACCAATCACGTGGTGATCCGTTTTCTAATACTTACAATCCCGGTTGGCGTGATCATCCGAATTTCAAATGGCGAGATCCCCAACAAGGTCAACAACAAAGCGGATTTAGGCCAAACCCCCTTGGTTTTTATTCCAAGCCGTATGCACCCCAACAATCCCAACAACCTTTGACATCATCTCATTCAGGTACGTCCTTGGAAAGTAATCAAGCGATGCAATTACTAACCTCTATTTCGCAGGGGTTGCAAAATCAAAACAACCGGATAGAAAATAACGAGAAGGAGATGATGGATATGAAGAAACAAATAGGGCAGATTTCTGAGTTCCTTGGACAGATTAGAGATAAAGGAAAGCTTCCTAGCTCAACCACAGTCAATCCAAAGGGAGGATTCGAATCCGCCAAGGCCATCACCCTAAGGGGTGGAAAAGAAGTTGGGACCGAGCCAAACAATCCCAAATCTGCCCAGGAAGTAGATGAAGAGACGACACAACCTAAGGAAGTGTCTAGCTCACCCACGGAAAGAGTGAAAAACCCAATGCCGCAGGCCCCCAATCACCCTAACTCGGCCAAATCAGGTAATTTAAGTTCAAATTCATGTACTTCACGTCCTAATCTGCCCAATGTACCTTTTCCTCGCAGGTTCATGCAAGAAAAAAAGGAAGAAAGCGAGAAGGACATTCTTGAAACGTTCCGGAAGGTGCAAGTGAACATACCACTTCTCGATGCAATCAAACAGGTTCCAAAGTATGCTAAATTCCTCAAGGACCTATGCAATACAAAGAGAAGAAGGGCAAACAAAGAGGTAGTGAAGGTAAGCGAGAATGTGTCCGCTGTTTTGCAACGTAAACTACCTACCAAGTGCAAAGACCCCGGTAGTTTCACGATTCCTTGTTTGATTGGACATAATCGTTTTGAACATGCCATGCTTGATTTAGGTGCATCCATAAATGTCATGCCTTATTCCATTTATGCATCAATGAACCTTGGTGAGTTAAAACAAGATGGCGTTATAATTCAATTGGCCGATCGTTCTAACGCTTATCCCAAGGGAGTCCTTGAGGATGTTTTAGTGCAGGTCAATCACCTTATTATCCCCGCAGATTTCTATGTTTTAGACATGGAGGATTCAAGCCATGCTCCATCATTGCCAATCTTGCTAGGCCGTCCCTTCATGAAAACAGCAAGAACAAAGATTGATGTGTATACGGGAACATTGACCATGGAGTTTGATGGGGACATTATTCATTTTAATCTTTCTGAAACCATTAAACATCCAATTGAGGACCATTCTTGTTTTGCTATTGATATTGTTGATTCTTTGGCACAGGTGCATTTGGATCAAATGAACGAAGATGCACTTGAGGTAGCCTTAGTCCACGGCATAGGAACAAGAAATAAGTGTGAGGGAGTCTTGGCAACCCACGGCATGCAATCTGACCATATTGCCGTGCCCCCTTGTGATGAAGTACTTGAAATGGTCGCTGCCCTCGAGTCATTGCCCTTCCACTCTGGTAAGTCTCCAATCTCACTTTTAGATTCGGTTTTGACTAACAAGTTACTTCCATCAACTGAGCAGCCACCTACACTTGAGTTAAAGCCATTACCTAGTCACTTGAAGTATGTGTTCTTGGGCCAAGATCAAACGCTACCCGTCATCATTTCAAACTTACTCACGGCTCAAGAAGAAGACAAGTTGATAAGGGTGTTAAAAGAGCACAAATCTGCCATTGGATGGACTTTGGAGGATATCAAAGGCATTAGTCCCACCACGTGCATGCATCGCATCCTTTTGGAGGAGGAAGCCAAGCCATCTCGTGAAGCTCAACGTCGCCTTAATCCACCTATGATGGAAGTAGTGAAAAAGGAGGTTATAAAATTACTTGATTGTGGTGTTATATATCCTATTTCTGATAGTCGTTGGGTGTCACCTGTGCAGGTTGTTCCAAAGAAGTCTGGCATCACAGTGGTGAAGAATGAAGAACAAGAGCTTGTCCCCACTCGTGTTGTGACTGGTTGGCGTGTTTGCATTGATTACAGGAAGTTAAATGCCATGACAAGGAAGGATCACTTTCCATTACCATTCCTCGACCAAATGTTGAAAAGGTTAGCCGGTTATGAATTTTATTGCTTTCTTGATGGATATTCCGGATATAACCAGATTGTGATCGCTCCGGAGGACCAAGAGAAGACAACATTTACGTGCCCCTTTGGCACTTTTGCATATAGACGCATGCCATTTGGTTTGTGCAATGCTCCGGCGACGTTTCAACGATGCATGGTGAGTATATTCTCTGATTATGTGGAGAAGATTATTGAGATATTCATGGATGATTTTAGCGTGTTTGGCAATTCATTTGATCATTGCTTGAATAATCTGACTTTAATCTTGAAACGTTGTGTTGAAACGAATCTTGTACTTAATTGGGAAAAATGCCACTTCATGGTTAAGCAAGGTATTGTTCTAGGCCATATCATTTCTGAAAAAGGCATTGAAGTAGATAAATCTAAGGTAGACCTTGTTCGCCACTTACCCTCTCCAACTTCGGTTAGAGAGGTTCGTTCGTTTCTTGGCCACGCAGGTTTTTATAGGCGTTTCATTAAGGATTTCTCCAAGATTGCACAGCCACTATGCCGGTTGCTTCAAAAAGAGGTGGTTTTCAAGTTTGATGAAGCATGCTCCACGGCATTCAAGCACTTGAAGGAAGCTCTCACTTCGGCTCCTATTATCACACCTCCAGATTGGAGCCTTCCATTCGAGTTAATGTGTGATGCGTCGGACTATGCCATTGGTGCTGTTTTGGGACAGCGAAAGAACAAGCAACCCCACGTTATCTATTATGCTTCTAGGACACTAAATGATGCTCAATTAAATTATTCAACCACTGAGAAAGAATTACTTGCTGTGGTTTTTGCATTAGATAAGTTCCGATCTTACTTACTTGGTACTAAAGTTGTTATTTTTACTGATCATACAGCTCTCAAATATTTGCTCACGAAAAAGGAGGCCAAGCCTAGATTGATTCGATGGATGTTGCTTCTACAAGAGTTTGACATTGAGATTCGGGATAAGAAGGGCGTGGAGAATGTGGTGGCTGACCACCTAAGCTGAATGGTGCATGAGGAAGCAATGCCAATTTCTGAAACCTTTCCCGATGAACAATTAATGTCTATCCAGGTAAGTGAGCCTTGGTACGCAGATTTGGTGAACTTTTTGGTGTCTAAACATACCCCTAGCACACTTAATAGGAATCAATGTGATAAGCTTAGAAAGGATGCTAGGTTTTATGTTTGGGATGACCCATACCTTTGGAAATTTTGTCCCGATCAGATTGTCCGACGTTGTGTGAATGAATCTGAGTTTCAATCTATTTTAACATTTTGTCATTCATATGCATGTGGGGGACATTTTGGCACCCAACGCACTGCCCTTAAAGTCTTAGAATGTGGGTTTTATTGGCCAACCATCTTTAGGGATGCTAGGACGTTTTGCCTTACATGTGATCGGTGTCAAAGAATGGGTAATATAAATGCTAAGGATCAAATGCCACAAACCCCTATACTTTCTGTTGAAATATTTGATGTGTGGGGCATTGATTTTATGGGTCCTTTTCCTTCATCACATGGTTTTCTCTATATCTTGTTGGCGGTGGATTATGTTTCCAAATGGGTGGAAGCAAAAGCCACCCGTACTAACGATTCCAAGGTAGTTGCAGATTTTGTGAAGTCTAACATTTTTGCTAGGTTCGGAATGCCTCGAGCTCTTATAAGTGATGGAGGCTCACATTTCTGTAATCGTACAATTGAGGCCTTGCTCAAGAAGTACAACGTTACACATAGGGTGTCCACACCCTATCATCCTCAAACAAGCGGGCAAGCCGAGGTGTCGAATCAGGAGATAAAACAGATTCTTGAGAAGACAGTGGGTCCAACAAGAAAAGATTGGAGCTTAAGGCTAGAAGATGCATTGTGGGCTTATAGGACCGCCTACAAAACACCCATAGGAATGTCCCCCTTTCGGCTTGTTTATGGCAAGCCATGTCACTTACCTGTGGAGTTGGAGCACAAGGCTCATTGGGCCGTGAGGAAGTTCAACATGGATGTGGATGCAGCGGGAATTCATCGTAAGCTTCAATTGAATGAACTTGAGGAGATACGGAATGAAGCTTATGAGAATGCTCGCCTTTACAAGGAAAAGACGAAGGCCTTTCATGATAAGATGATTCGCACCAAGTCCTTCTCTGTTGGACAGAAAGTGTTGTTGTTTAATTCTCGTCTTCGTCTATTTCCGGGTAAGTTACGTTCACGTTGGATTGGACCCTTTGTTATTACTAACGTTTTTCCTCATGGTGCAGTCCAAGTTCGTAGCTTCAAAACAGGTCAAGAGTTTAAGGTGAACGGGCATCGTTTGAAGGCCTATTATGAGAACTTTGTGGAGCACACCGTGGATGACACCCCCTTGGGTACCGTAGGCTCCAATTTGGAGTAAATGGATTCTTCGTCCGGCTGCAAGACGTAAAAGAAAGCGCTACTTGGGAGGCAACCCAATACAGTGAATAAAGCTTGTTTATTAATTTCCGAGTGTTTAAAAAAAAAAAAAAAAAAAAAATGGCAGAAAGATGAAGCCTCACTGCAATCACCAAGGAGAAGATGGAATTTACACTCCATAACCAGATTTGCATCTCTAAAACTCTTCTCTTTGATAGATACATTCTGCCATGTTTAGTATGTTTAGTTGCTGTTTTATATGTTTTCTTTTGTTTGGTGTGTTTTAAGCTTAAAACATTGAGGACAATGTTTGATTTAAGTGTGGGGGGGTAACTAAGTATGTTGATGCAAAATTTGTTGGATTTTATCACCCATAATTTCAAGTGTTGTTCCTTGCTGTTTTAAAATGTTTTTAAACTGTTTTAGTGTGTTTTGACTTAAAAATTCGAAAATCCCATAAAAATTTGAAAAATTGTTTTGAAAAACCCAAAAAGAGTTGTTTTAAAGTTGTTTTTGTGTGTTTGTGTCGTAGGTCACCTTCCAACGCAATGATGAGGATTTGGTTTTTAATTGCATGATGGTTAAAGAAAGTTACAAACATGGATGGACGTTTGATATACTCTTTGGTTTATGCTTGGTTGTAGTTATAGTTCACGAATTCACATGCAATCACAAAGAAAAAAATTAGTTTTTATAACATGCTTGAAGGAATGAGCTCAAACTAACACTACATCCCTGTGAGACTTGAGCTTAAACGTTTATTTGGAGAGTTAAAATCTGTGCATTCTTTGTTTTCTAAAGTCGTTGCATGATCTCATTATTCTTTGATTGGTTGCTACTTAGAAGGCGTTTCATCACTTAGTTCCAAATGCTAGAACTCATGCCCATTTCATTCAAAGCATGTCATTGATTTGCATAACACGTATTCAAGATGAAGTTGTGTAGTGAACACCATAGCCAAATTGCCATATTTCCCTTTTCATTTGTTTTATAGGATTTAACCCCGTTGAGCCTTGTGTAGCCTACTTTCTTTGTTAACCCACATTATCTTCACCTAACCTAGATTAGGACCATCCGTACCCTTGTTCTTGAAGCATAGTAAGCATGAATGAATTCCCTTTGATTAATGTGTGCAGAAAATAAGTGTGGGGGAAAGTGTATTCATGTGAGTTTTTGTGCCATAGGCACGGTAAAAAAAAAAAAAAAAAAAAAAAAAGAAAAGAAAAAAATGGAAAAAGAGTTGAAAATAGTTGAAAAGTATTGGTTGTTGAAGTAAGGGCCCAAAACAATGAATTAGGCCCTAAGAGTTGTTTGAATCTCCCCTATTTGTTTAAAAGTTGATTTCTGCATTCTAAGGGAATTCTAGGTCTTAATTTCATTACTTTACTTATTATTGCTTAAAGAACGTTTGTTATTCCTTACCTTCCCTTGTTAGCCAAAACCCCAAGCCCCGTTACAACCCTTGACTTCTATCTTGAGTATTGTGCATTTCAAATGTGGAGTTTGAATTTGGTATGAGCATATGGTGTCACTGGTTCTCGCATCTAAGTAGTAGCATCCCATTCATGAGATCATATCCATACACGTCTAATTACTCCCGAAATTGCTTTCCTTGTATAACGTATGTGAGTACTAGTCTTTCATGTTTACATCAATCTTCTCACATATAACTAGTGTAGAGTGTGTAGTCAGAAAATTTGAGTGAAAATTGAGTGCATAACGAGTGAGGAATTGAGGGAATTCTCTAAGGCATGTTACTACATTCAAAATATGTTTTAATTGATTAAATGCGAACTAGTGAATGGTGACTATGATTAAGTATGTGCTTGAGGG